TTATTTTGTCATTCTCACATCTACATCTTGTGATTCTCCTTAAACTCACATGAATTCCGCACTTTGTTATATATATATATATATATATATATATATATATATATATATATATNGACAGAGAGAATTTATATATATATATATATATATATATATATATATATATATATATATATATATACCAAGAGCCTATCAGACTAAATGCTTTTATAGCAATCTAAGTGTTTGGCATGGAATAATTGTAAACAGAACTTGTAGGCAATATATTAGAATTTAGAAGAAGAGGATTACCATTTAATGAAATGCCTTATAGTCGAACTCGGATGAAAAGACCTCTTCCCCACCAAACTATAATAGTGTCTAAGGTCTTGAGATCCTTTTTGCAAAACATTTGACTTGGTAATTATGTGTCACCTTTATTTATCTAATTTTGAGTTCAACTCATCAAACTTGTAATTTATCTCAGATGACACATTGTTAGCAACCCAAAGCCATTACTGTTGTTTAGAAAAGAATCAAAATATGTAAGTAAGAAATCCTAACTTCAAGCTTGATACCAAAAAATTAAAGGAGAATCAAATGCTTACATTTAAATGAAAATGAATAAGCTATGCTTAGTCCTACAACAATTTCAACACGATTTGGTGGCAAATGTGAGACATAACAAATAAATTACACCACAATAGGAACACAATCCAATGGCATCCCACTCTTGTTCATCTTGGCGATGCTCACAATGACCCAAATATCGAGTTGTTGTCAAAACCACATAATCAACACTTATGGAACAGAGCAATGATTTGATCATGAGTTTCACAACCGTAAATTGAAAAAAACTAAGGTTGCCAAGGATTAAAGAACCAAATTAGTGTGACATGTACAATATTACACATGCAGACAGATAGGCAATATTTCTTAATGGCCCACATTAAGAACTTCCACGTCCAAAATTGGGGCGATCCGACAATCATGTTGTGGGTGGAGAGAGAGAGAGAGAGAGAGAGAGGTGAAACAATCTTTTTTGAATAATGAAATTAGGTAGTGTGTTTGAATGATTCAAACCATGTTGCTTTTCCCATAGGATCATCTATACCACCTGTTCCCTACATGATTAATCAAAATATATGGACACCATTCACTTTAAACAAGGAAAATAGCACTTCATACAGAATGTGCACATTTATATGCATAACCAAACAATGTGCTTGTCATGCATAGAAGAACTATTACATATCCACACAATGACACCAACAAGAAAAACCTTTCTAAGAACCTCCAGTAAGTTTGAAAAAGAGATGCATTAGGAAATAACACCTATATCTCACAGATCATACACTACAGGTAGCTTCTTTTATATCTTGCGAGAGTTAGAAACCTTCAACTTGATAGTAGGTGTGGATGTTGCACATGTAAGTGTGTCAATTTCAATATAGCAGAATTCTTACAATTCTCTAGAAGAATTTATGCTCGTCCTATAAATTGGCTATCACTAAATTCATGAATATACTATCATGCAATTTCAAAAACTAAAACTTCTTGAATCATTGAACTATTGGCTGAACATATCGACCTGGTTCTTCTACTTCTATTATTGTTGTCCAATATAAACCTATATGAGAATTTCATCGCAGTCAATAAACATACAAGAAAAGGGCAGTGTTCCAGTGCAGAAACCACATACAAAACCATAAAACACTATGTGCAAAATATATAGCTGAAACAGTGAGAGAAACAGTACCTCTTCAAACTTTCACTATGCACATAGGGAGAGTGACTGGTTCAACTCAAAGGAGCAGGAAATCACACTCTGAAACCAATGAAAACTTGTTACATAATCTCAATTCGAACCGAATCTATGAAGAAATGAATCGGAAGATCCTTTGGAGTGATTGGCTGAAATTTCGAGCTCCACATTCACTTTTTCAAACATCAGAGGAAAATCAGACTCCAATCACTTGTCTCTTCTAGCAATTGTTTGAAAGAAGATACATAGAGATTTCCAATTTAAAATTTGAGCTCAGTTCCAAGCCTTCTCAATAGTAGGAAAATTTCATGGCTCTCTTTAATTTTAACTTTTACAAAATAAGATTTCTAACATTTGAAGGGACATTTTTGCACTTTGGATTGGTTTTGCCTATGACCAAAGAAAATGTCAAGCCAAAGCTTGAAAAATGGTGTTGGACGCCCAAATATTATCCAAAAATATCCTTGTAAACATTTTGTAAAATATATACATGCAACCCTGTAAACTAATAGATTTAAACTAATTTTTCTATCAGTTCTTATACATCTTTGTGAATTTTGAGCATTTCATGAACAATTAAGAAGCAAAGAGATCTGGAGCACATCTATGTGCATTAAAAAGGACTTGAGTGGAGAAATAGGTGAGAACTTGCTTATTAATTCTAAATAAAACAGCCAAAGAAAAGCACTCTTGAATGAAAAAAATATATAATTGATAGATTAGGCCCTTTACATCATTGGATTCTAATCTGTTCATAAATATCTCGAGGGCATCAATTGGAAAACAAACCGAGTAGAAGTCAACTTAAAAGATATCTCAAAGATGGGTTACGAATAAGAAGCACGAACTCCATGCCATAGTTGAACTCCTGGCACCAAAAGTAACCCAATTTCGTTCAATAATATTTTAGGAAAAAGTCTAGGGATATCTCCACCAAAAGGAAGTTTAATTGTTAAAAAATCCAAGGAATTATATGTTATACCTGAATTCGAGTGATCTAACGAGGGGCGACTGGGAGCATTAGCGGTGGATGAGAGTTCCCTCGAGGACACATCACAGGCTCGCACTGAAGTTGAATTGTCCATCGAATCTATTTATTTGAAACAAGGATTACAAGGGGTTTGGATTTATGGTTTTAACAAGGCGTCGGTTGGTTCATCTAAAGTGGCGTTGGGTACTTCAAGTGGTGTAGTAATTTGCAGGAGAGTAAAGCTGGAAAAAAAAAAAGTTGAAGGGGCGTCTTTTTTGTTGCAAAGACAGTAAATTATTATTCATTATTTGGGTATCTCAATTTATTTGCAAGGATATAAAATGATATTATTGTATTTTTTAAGGGTACAAATGAAAAAAATAATTTTTTTAAAGTTGTTGTCTTTTAAAAGTAGTATAGATTAATTAGATGGGCCGCAACTTGTGGACTTGCCCAGAGTTCTATAAAAAGGCCAATGACAATATTTGGATTGTCAAAATTCCTCAACAAATCAAAATGTTCATCCACAAGTTGCTATATGGGGCCTTAGAGCAACTCCAACCGGCTCAACAAATGGCATTTTTTAGTTATTTTGTTGTGCCAATCCAAAAAATTTGGCTCCAACCGACTCTCTATTTCACTCACTAATCTGCCTCCCCCTATTCTTACTCATCAGTTGTGGCTAGCAACACTCTCTCTCATCAAAGCTCTCTCCCCCCAAATTTGGTTGTTCTTCATCAGAGTTTTGCACCAATTTTGGGTTGTTCATCAAAGCTCGTCACCAGTTGAGCTAATTTTGGATTGTTCATCAGAGTTTTAACCCATTTTTCCCCTCACCTTCTCCATCGCCACCAGTTGAGCCACCGGAAAAGCCATTGCATAAGAAATATAAAAAACACTCCACAGCAGCTATCATCGCCATATCCATAGGTTCAGCATTACTTCTACTCCTATTAGTTTTAATTTGGAGAATTTGTGGAGGGCATCGGCGGAGGTGTTGGGACGTCGTACAAGGCAGTGTTGGAGGAGGGCATGATGGTCATAGTGGAGGGCACGACGGTCGTAGTGAAGAGGTTGAAAGATGTGGTTGTGACAAAAAAGGAGTTTGAGCAGCAAATGGAGGTTCTGGAGAAGATTAAGTATGAAAATGTGGTGCCTCTCAAAGCTTTCTACTACTCTAAGGATGAAAAGTTGTTCCAATTTTTAGAATTTATGATCTGGGTTTGCTCTATTTTTCCTTATTTCGTTCATTTTTAGATCTGATATGGATTTGCTCTATTTTGTGTTTGTTTGGTTGGTTGATTTCTCTGGCTTTTAAAAAATGATGAATAAATTAAGTTTGTAAAAATTTAAAATTTAAAATTTAAAATTTGATGATATGGCACAACACGTCATAATTATGACGCTTACGTGTTACTTCACGTAACATTTTGAATTATATTATTGAAAGTTAATTAAAGTTAGTTGAAATAATTAGTTAACATAGAGAGCATGATTAGAATGAATTTTAAAAAATGGATAACTAAAGTAGTAAATATAATATTTAAATATATTTTGAGTAGCTATTTTTTGAGCATGGTTGGAGATGCTCTCACCCACTAAACAAAGATCTATAGAGAAGGAAATTGATATATTCACCCCCATGCGACGTCTTATGTAGACAAAAGAAGAGGAATGAATACCTTGAACATACTTATTTTTCTGCCCTTGGACGGAGATGATATAGAAAAATCCTCCTTGGGCTAATATACTATAACATTGATGGCAATCAACAAGAAGCACAAGGTCTGAGATAGGTAATTGCTATAATTTCATCATGCGTATCGGGTAAGAGGATATAGACGATAGGCCTTGGATTAGGAAGACGAGTGACATGGTCGTTCCCAATGCTTCTTCTCGCTTCATTAAATGTCAAACCTTTTGAAGCATATCAATAATTTTATTTCTTGACTTGAATGTACCTAGTCGCCTTCATCTTTCCCTGTACGCAAATAGGAGAAGGGGTGAGGAACATTCGAGAAAAAGAGTCTTCAATCACTACAGTTTATATAGATGCTCGAGTTCATATTTTGTATCAGGACTGATTCTTTTTGCACTGCTTCTGTCTGTTAACAAAAAAGGTGAGAGCTTTAAAGAATTGGGTTGCATTCTCTAAATAGTTTGTGTGGACCATCGCAGAGCACTAATTGGCATTCCACAGCTGCAGATTAGCACAAACCTTGGGCCAATTTCAACATTAATTTCTGAGATCCATTATATGCAATGTGCATAGCAGCCAAAGAACATCTACAAAGAATAATTAAACCTATCCACAGCGAAAGATTTATTCACTCAATTAAGGCATTAAAGCATCAATCAGCATATATCAAATTCTCTCCAGTTGTTCATAGAGCCTTTGAAGAAAAAGTGCTTCAAGTTTTTAAAGGCAAAAATACTTGAACTCCCACAAGCCTACAACTAGAATACAGCGACAAAGTGGCTATGAGGATTATTACATGCCAGCTCCATCCAAAGGATCTCTACGTGATTGCACAGATGCATACTCATCAGAAAAGACCCTGGTTCAAGATTAATAGTACTAGTTAGTTGCATAATACAGTAATCCCAAATTCTAGTAGAGGAAGACATGCCAAATGGCAGCACAGACGTGCAGCTGCTGCTGCTGCTGCTGCCTTTTTGTACTGCATCAACCAGAACAAGAAATGAGTAACATCTCAAACAATGTCAATCAGCACTTGCCCATTTGTGCGCCCTCAAAAACTGCGGTTCCAACTTCCAGTTACCCAAGGTTCAGGCTATATATACTACAACAGGGAAAGAGATATACTATATAGAATCAGCCTTAGCATAACAAATGACTAAAAATCCATCTTTTCCTCTAGAAACATTCTGATTTATGCTTAAAAACTGGCACAATATTGACCATGGTATGGTGGCTTTCCGTCCCCTGTTTATAGTCCAACTCCATCCTACTTAATCTTTCTTTTTCTTCTTCAACAGAAATAGTAAAATGCAGATGTGGACCCAAAGGGCAAAAAGGAAAAAAAAAATAATTGTTTGGGGAACAAAAGGATCTATGATCAGAAAAATTGTGCAAAAGAATATGATTAAAATGACAGTTAACAGGAAAAACATCTCCCAGACTCAGTAAATCACTAAACGAATCAGCAATCACTATCTGTTTCACCATGTGGAATGTCTTGCCATGTTAGTTGCAAAGAGGAAGAGGGCTTTTGGAATTTAAACATTCTACATAAGACTATGCAATCCCAACGGCAATCAAACTCGGGAGAGAACCCAAAAGCATGGCAATCAATGAGAACAGTTTCCTATAAGACATTATTCATGAAGCAATGGTCATGCACCAATCATGCATCCACAAACTGTGGGAGACTGCAAGTTTAAATTGTGTGGGCATGGACTCTCTGCATTACAGAATGGTTCTATGGTTATCAAACTCATCAGGACAGTTGTGAATTCACCTTAGAGTTGAATAGCCAGATCAATGCATCTCCATGTACAAACTTATTCATGTGTTTGAATAGATAATTATAGAGGAATGCACATTCTCCCTAAAACAGGTAATGTTAGTTTTCTCCCCAATTGAAAATGGCTAAAAGGCTCTCGCAGACAAATACTATTGCATGGATTAAAGGGCATTCATGTCTTGCATTGTGTTTTTGTTTGGTTTACCACCAATCATCTGCTCCTTCTGTGTTAGACACATCAAACTACTCAGCTCCTCGCTCCTAAAATCTGTCTCTCTCTGGAAAAGCAAAATTATCAATTTACAAATTCTTTTTGCCATCTTTGCTTATTAAATGGGTGGCACGTGGAATGGTGATCACGCACCTTTGGCTTTTCAACTGTGATAGCCAAGGATGGTGTTCAGGTCGGCTTTTGTTATTTCTGGTCACCAATGATGGTGGCCTAATTCAATTCCCTTCAAATGCGACAAAGACTCTTATTTGTTAATCAGCCGAAATATTATATCTATTTTTATCCTTCTACTACATTTTTTGCTCTCTTTGTATGACTTCTTGATTCTTGTCCTCTCATGTACTCACTTTTTAGTCATTTTTCAGAATATTCTGTCATTTACAATAGGAAAAAAAAAAGATTATACTTATTTGGATTTCTAGCATTGGTTGCCATCAGTTGTTGTTGAGGATCTTCAGAGATAGTGGCATAGATTTAACTAGGACTGTTAGTCGAACGAGTCCGAGTCGAGTTCGAGCCGAACTTGAAAAGCTTGTTTCTTAATCGAGCATTAAAATTTATTCAAGTTCAGCTCGTTTAAGAAACAAGCTGAGCCTAAACGAGTCGAGCCCGAATATTTGCACATAAACAAGCCGAGCTTGTCGAGTTTGAGCCGAGCTTGTAGGGCTTGTTTTTTAAACGAGCCTAAAAATTTGTTCAAGTTCGGGTTTGTTTAGAAAACGAACCGAATTGAAACAAATCAAACTCAAGTCAAGCTTAAATAACTCAGGTTGATTAACAACCTAGATTTAATCCATCCAAATGTTTTGGAGGCCGCGTGCGCGTATGCGAATTGTGTTAGTTTTTTTATAGGTAAGTTCTATGGAGAAAAAATTGAAAGGACAATGCTACCACTAGGCTCAAATCTAAGCCCAAATGTGACTAAATTCTTGGATTCCAATAGATAATGGTTTTGAATCCAATCCTATTATATGTTAGACCATCATCAAAACTTCGAAAAAAGTTACGTTATTACAATAGTTGACGCACTCAACTCAGGGCTTAACTTTGTCCGGAGAAAATGAACAATCGACTCATACATTGTTCTCTGCTCACATAGACATTTTAGTCTTCCCAAGTATCAACGATCTGATGCGAAAATAAGTAGATACAAATCCCAAAATCAGTAAATTGAGTAGCACAGTGGTAAAGGATTCGAGAAAACAGTAGATCAAGGATACTAATAAGTCGGAGCAGAGCAGAATTTCACGTATTAAGAAAACAAGTGCGAGTGGCGGTAAGCGCAAAGACGATTAGATACAAAACCGTAACCCCAAAAGAAGTAAGAGAAACGATTTACGTACCCGTTGGAGGAATAGGTGAAGTATCTACTTGGATGGAGTAGAGGAATGATGCTTATCCTTGGACGAGGCGTAATCGGGAGGAGAGTAGATCAAAGCAGCTATCATAGCTCCCGGTAGCACCCCGTACTTGGCCAGTAATGCCAGCTTCGCCACCAGCGGCTCTCCCTTCATCAACAACGCCATCTCCAAATTCCGCTTGGAGAAAAATCAGAATCAGTAATAAGTAGTGGCGTCACCTCTTTCGGGTTGTCCAAGGACCCGCTTGGCATAATACAGAATATCAAATTGAATAATTAATCTTGATTCGATTAATTATTTAGGGTTTTGTATCTAATCGCTATATTATTTTATTTATTAATACCAATTATATGCTTTTATTAAATATTAATTAAGGATATTAAATTAAAAAATACGAAAGCATCCTTAACTTCAATTGCATCCACAATCAAATTAGGGGATACTTTAATCATTTTTTTTTATCTTAAAAACAATTAAGATTGATTTTTATCTTATAAGACTAAAGCCTATGACATGAACTAGACAGGATGATAATTATCATTAAACTAATTTAGTTTAATCTTTACCCCATAAATACACAAACCAGAAGCCCTTAAAGCATCTAATTATTCTCACAATGCCCTTGAAGCAGATGTTGCATCCATTCATTAAACAATTAAAACAAACTTCCCTTTGTCCTGTAATATAGAATACTAGCAATAACTCTAATTTATCGCCGACAATTTGTTCGGGGTTCTAAACTCAACGATGACATCTAAACATGAGGATTATGCTCGTTATGAGATTTAATTCAATACCTTATAACACGAGGTGACGACCATCTTGTCCCACCATTTTTTTTTAAAAAAAAATTAGAGAGAGATAAAACTTTATTTGGCTTTGGTTGAAAAAGTGTGGAGTGTATAAAATTTTAACTTTGAGGAGAATTTGATTTTGATTAACGTCAAAAGTATGGACAAATTTGCGCGGGGGAAAATATTCGTTATTTATAGGGCACCACGTGATAATGACACGTGGTGTTTACATTCAATGAAAAATTGTCACAACATTGATTTGTGGGACACATTGATTTTAAAAAAAAAAAATTGAGAACTTTGCAAATGGTAGCAATTGATTAAGAATATATAATATTTTATAAATGGGATACAACACATGACACACTGTTGTATCGTGTTTGCTTAGCACCAAATATTTTCTCTAGATAGAAAGTAAAAAAATGCAAAAAAGAAAGAAGGTGATCTAATCATTTTGATTTTCTATTAAAAGAATCGATGTTGGCAGATTGTCTGTGAGAGAGGTCAGTTCCGTCGAGCGTTGGTGCATCGGTCCCAATGCCATCGTCATGGCGAAGCTTGGGGTGGAGGTATCTGTCCGCGCCGTAAGCTTTTTGCTTGTAATCCCCCAAATCGGTGTACCTTAGGTAGGGACTACTCTGCAAAGGCAGTAGTCCTTGCTGCACTAGTGATTCTCTCCCTCCTCCTCCTCCTCCTCCTCCTCCTTGTTGCTGTTGCTGTTGCTGTTGCTGCTCTTGGCATTGGCATTCCAATTCCATCTGCTGATTGCTCCTCAACATCTGCTGTTGTGGCGCTCCTTCAAATGCCATCTGTCGTTCTTCCAAGTGCTGCTCGTTGGACAGCTCTCTAGCTATTGGAAGTCAGAATGCGTAACTACAATTTCTAAAATGGTTACTTATAAGAAATGACTTCCAACAGAACAGCAAAGCAAAGCAAAGCAAATTTTTGGTTGACGATCCGCATTAACCGAATCAGCTGACCCATTCAACCTTCTTCTTTCAGTTTATGGTTTGGCTGGCACCCCTCCCCTGTTAAGTCATACATACAATTGAATTGAGGATACAAATTTCCTCCGCTATGATTTTTTNGTTATGAGATTTAATTCAATACCTTATAACACGAGGTGACGACCATCTTGTCCCACCATTTTTTTTTAAAAAAAAATTAGAGAGAGATAAAACTTTATTTGGCTTTGGTTGAAAAAGTGTGGAGTGTATAAAATTTTAACTTTGAGGAGAATTTGATTTTGATTAACGTCAAAAGTATGGACAAATTTGCGCGGGGGAAAATATTCGTTATTTATAGGGCACCACGTGATAATGACACGTGGTGTTTACATTCAATGAAAAATTGTCACAACATTGATTTGTGGGACACATTGATTTTAAAAAAAAAAAATTGAGAACTTTGCAAATGGTAGCAATTGATTAAGAATATATAATATTTTATAAATGGGATACAACACATGACACACTGTTGTATCGTGTTTGCTTAGCACCAAATATTTTCTCTAGATAGAAAGTAAAAAAATGCAAAAAAGAAAGAAGGTGATCTAATCATTTTGATTTTCTATTAAAAGAATCGATGTTGGCAGATTGTCTGTGAGAGAGGTCAGTTCCGTCGAGCGTTGGTGCATCGGTCCCAATGCCATCGTCATGGCGAAGCTTGGGGTGGAGGTATCTGTCCGCGCCGTAAGCTTTTTGCTTGTAATCCCCCAAATCGGTGTACCTTAGGTAGGGACTACTCTGCAAAGGCAGTAGTCCTTGCTGCACTAGTGATTCTCTCCCTCCTCCTCCTCCTCCTCCTCCTCCTTGTTGCTGTTGCTGTTGCTGTTGCTGCTCTTGGCATTGGCATTCCAATTCCATCTGCTGATTGCTCCTCAACATCTGCTGTTGTGGCGCTCCTTCAAATGCCATCTGTCGTTCTTCCAAGTGCTGCTCGTTGGACAGCTCTCTAGCTATTGGAAGTCAGAATGCGTAACTACAATTTCTAAAATGGTTACTTATAAGAAATGACTTCCAACAGAACAGCAAAGCAAAGCAAAGCAAATTTTTGGTTGACGATCCGCATTAACCGAATCAGCTGACCCATTCAACCTTCTTCTTTCAGTTTATGGTTTGGCTGGCACCCCTCCCCTGTTAAGTCATACATACAATTGAATTGAGGATACAAATTTCCTCCGCTATGATTTTTTTCTTTTTCTCAACAAGTCACACCTATTATTATTATTATTATTATTATTATTATTATTTATTTATTTATTTATTTATAATAATAACCTTACTTAGAGTAATGTTATTGGGACGAGAGTCGATAATTATGACCATTAAATTGTGGCTGAGTGTCAATATCAATCAAATGATTACAATAACTTTAGTAAGTGTTATGTATCAGTATCATTATACTGTAGTCAGAAACATCACATGTATGTGGTTTCTTATTATAGTGCACAGCAAGTTGAAGGAAAAGTGCCAAAATGTAGGGCACATCAAGCTGTCATGGTCTGGGCCTACGGCCCGGCCCCCAAATGTACTGGGAAGGAGCAGGTCCGATATTACCATTTCACATATCAGGCAGAAAAAAAATCCTGTCACCAAACAACTAAACACACTGGTTTACACAGGTCACCTTATATAAGTGGGTGAATGGTCGTTGGGAACAAATTTAACTCTACTACACAACAATTCTAGCATTAAATTCTCTGCTATCAATTTCTTCCACTCTCCAACCATGTCTCTTTCACAGAGAGAGAGAGAGAGTAAAGCCAACGTTCTTTCATTATCCTCCACATATTCGACCTATACAAATTCTTGGTTCAGGAAGCCCCAGCTACAGCCTCCCATATCCATCATTGATGGAAGTTTCTCGTCCCCAAATGCCTTCATCAATCTATACCTCTTTGTCCTCTCTTTTGCTTCCATCTCGCTGGCTCTGCAAGTAGATTCAGCATCATCATTTACGGTTGCACCACTCCTTTTTAACCTTCTTCTTCTTCAATTATGGCAGCAGACTTTACAGGCAGAAGAAATTCCAATACCCAACTCTTAGAAGAACTCGAAACGCTGAGCCAGTCCCTCTACCAGTCCCACACTTCGTCCACTCGAAGAACTGCCTCCCTTGCTCTCCCTCGAAGTGCAGTCCCTCCCATCACACCTGCCGAAGATATTGACACGACTATAAATGAGGAAAAGCTCAATTCCAGACCCCGGTCAAGGCGCATGTCCTTGTCCCCTTGGCGCTCTAGACCAAAGCTCAATGAAGAAAATGAACAGAAAGAACAGACTAAGGTTCCAAGTCAGAAAGAGATCAAGAAGTTCGATGACAGGGCTGCTTCTTCAGAGAAAAAAGGACTTTGGAATTGGAAGCCAATTCGAGCCCTGTCCCATATTGGCAAGCAGAAGCTGAGCTGTTTGTTCTCTATTGAAGTTGTCACCGTTCAAGGGCTTCCAACTTCCATGAATGGGCTACGACTTTCTGTTTGTGTCAGAAAGAAAGAAACCAAGGATGGAGCAGTTCAGACGATGCCATCGAGGGTTTTGCAGGGAGCTGCTGATTTTGAAGAGACCCTATTTCTCAGGTGCCATGTTTACTGCATCCCTGGCAGTGGAACGCAGCTGAAATTTGAGCCACGTCCTTTTTGGATTTATGTATTAGCAGTTGATGCGGAAGAACTTTATTTTGGAAGAAGTTCTGTGGATTTAAGTCTTCTAATTCAGGAATCTATAGAGAAGAGCTTTGAAGGTACACGGATTCGGCAGTGGGACACAAGTTTCAACCTATCAGGAAAGGCCAAGGGCGGAGAACTTGTTCTGAAATTGGGATTTCAGATTATGGAGAAAGATGGAGGGATTGGAATCTATAGTCAGGCTGAGGGACAGACGTCTGGAAAAGGTCGAAATTTATCTTCTTTTGCACGCAGACAATCAAAATCATCCTTCAGTGTCCCTAGTCCAAGAATGTCTAGCCGAGCAGAAGCTTGGACTCCTTCACAGCCAGGAGCAACAACAGACTTTCAAGGAATGGATGACCTGAACCTTGATGAACCAGCCCCCGCGCCTCTATCCTCTGTCCAGAGCTCTGTGGAACCAGAATCAAAGGCAGAGGATCTGGATATCCCCGAATTTGAAGTTGTTGATAAAGGCATAGAGATCCAGGACAGAGGAGAAGAGGAGGAAGAACAATCCGAAGAAAACTCTGACAAAAGATCAGTCTCAAGTGAGGTTGTTCATGATCAAGTCCATCGGACAAGATTGACAGAGCTTGATTTGATAGCTCAGCAGATAAAAGCTCTTGAATCTATGATGAGAGAGGAGAAATTAGTCAAGACAGATGAAGAAAATGAATCACAAAGACTAGATGCAGAGGAAGAAACAGTAACACTGGAATTTCTTCAGATGTTAGAGGATGAAGAAACTCAAGAAGTGAAAATGGATCAATATGATATTCCCCCTTTAAAGCTGCAGGGAGCTGCTTCTGAAGATGCTGAAGCCATGGTTTTTCTCCCAGATCTTGGAAAGGGCTTGGGATGTGTTGTTCAGACGAGGAATGGAGGCTGTTTAGCAGCCATGAATCCTCTAGATATCGCAATGGCAAGGAAAGACACTCCGAAACTTGCTATGCAGATATCCAAGCCATTGGTCCTTCCATCAAACAAAACAGCGAACGGAATTGAGTTATTTCAGATGATGGCAGCTATTGGGATAGAAGAGCTTAGCTCTGAAATTTTATCTTTGATGCCCATGGATGAACTCATGGGTAAAACAGCAGAGCAGATAGCTTTCGAAGGCATTGCATCAGCAATAATCCAGGGGAGGAACAAAGAAGGTGCTAGCTCAAGCGCTGCTCGGACCATAGCTACCGTTAAATCCATGGCCACTGCAATGAGTACTGGCAGGAAAGAGAGAATTTCAACAGGCATTTGGAATGTAAGTGAAGACCCATTGACAGCGGAAGAGATTTTGGCATTTTCTATGCAGAAAATTGAGGCCATGGCAATTGAAGCTCTAAAAATCCAGGCAGAAATGGCTGATGAAGAAGCCCCATTTGATGTTTCCCCACTCAATGATAAGATAATCACAGGTGGTGGGAAAGAAAAAATTCACCCACTGGCATCCGCCATTCCACTGGAGGATTGGATTAAAGATAGTGTTGCTACGTCACTTACTGAAGCTGACTCCGCAACCATCACAATGTTAGTGGTTGTCCAGTTAAGGGATCCTGTAAGGCGATATGAAGCAGTTGGAGGCCCTCTGATAGTGTCAATTAATGCAACAAGCGTAAACGTCAAACCTGGTAAGTACAATGAAGAAAGGAGGTTCAAAGTGGCAAATTTGCATGTTGGAGGTTTGAAAGTGAGGACCGGCGAAAGGAAGAATATGTGGGATACTGAGAAGCAGAGGCTAACAGCAATGCAGTGGCTGGTGGCATATGGACTGGGAAAGGCAGTGAAAAAAGGAAAGCAAGTGATGTCAAAGGGGCAGGATTTGTTATGGAGCATCTCATCACGTGTAATGGCTGATATGTGGCTCAAATCCATGAGGAATCCTGATGTCAAATTCACCAAGTAAAGAAAGCCTTCGTAATTTTTGTATAATCTTAGATACATTCAATCCTGCACTTATTTACATTCCTACATTCTTGACGGAGAAACATGTAGAAGAGACGAAGTGATTGATGAAGGCGCCTTTGAGAGAGTGAAAGTTCTCCACTTCTAGACCACATTAGCTTCCACATTAGTTGCTAGTAAATGCTTCTATATATGAAATTTGATTCATATATCGGAAGCCTTGCTTCAATTTCTGGATCATAGAAGAAAGCATTGTTCTTTTCATTGTTTAATTTGAATGGTGTCCCTTATATAAAACAAACAAATTGATGTGAGTATAAAGATAAATATACACAATCGAAGCAAGCTTCAAAAGATAAACAGCCTATTCATAACATTGATTACCAGTAATCTCTACAAGAGCAAGACCCACCCTTGAAATGATGGAAACGATTTGCATCCCGCACAATAAGTTCCCTTGAGGTAAGAAGAGAAATCCACTTCATCACCAAGTGACAGTCGCAACAAATTCGAAGATTTTTCATTATATGGATAGGCATCCAAGCAGGCAAGCTGATCAATCCAAATGCCACGGCAAGCTTCTCACTATGGCAGCTCCGTGGCCCAGCAGAACCAATTTCATTAATATAGTTTCCTGCGTGTTCTATTTTCTTGATAATCTCCTGCAATGCTATGTAAATATCCTTTATCCGAGGGTGACTAGTGTCATCTACAGTGAAGACATGCACCCTATTATCAACCTCAATCCAACTGCAACCTGGATTCTTTTGGATTCCTTTCTGTCTCATATGTTTTCTCACATCTGAGACACCTTCTAACTTGCCAGCATCTGAATATATATTGGCTAGAAGGACATAGCTTCCAGACCCTTCCACATCCAACTTAATCAGATTATTCAATGCAGTTTCAGCTAATTTTGTGTTGCCATGGATCCGGCAAGCACCAAGCAGAGCTCCCCAAATATCAGCATTAGGTTCCAAAGGCATTTCATCAATAAAACTTTTGGCTTGGTCTACCCGCCCTGCCCGGCCAAGCAGGTCTACAATACATGCAAAGTGCTCACAGTTTGGAGAGATCCCATGATCCTTAGTCATCATGTTGAAGTACTGTTGCCCTTCAAGCACAAGTCCCGAGTGGCTGCAACCAGATAGAACAGATATGTAGCTTATGTGGTCAGGCATGAAGCCCATCTTTAACATATCCTCAAAAATCTCTATGACTTTCCTACCTTGACCACTCTGAGCATATCCAGCCATAATCGAGTTCCATGAAATCAAATTCTTCATAACAATAGAATCAAAAACATTATATGCTTCACCAATTCGTCCGCATCTTGCATACATTGTAACAATACTATTTGCTGTTGACACATTAGAAACAAACCCCAATTTTTCAGCTTGAGCTACAATTTGGTTTCCAAGTTTCAGCACCGCCAAATAAGCACAGGCACTAATCAAAGTTGCAAAAGTAATCAAATCTGGTTTAACCCCTTCTCTTGCCATCAAAATGTATATCTTAAGACCCTCTTCCCAAAACCCATGTTGTATATACGTGGCTAGCATTGAGTTCCAAGTTATGACATTTCGTTCTGGCATTCTACTAAAATATTCTCGAGCTTTTTCAACATTTCCAGTCTGAGAGAATGCAGTGAGCATTGCTGTCCAGGATATAACATCTTTTACAGGCATCAACTTAAATGCACAGCTTGCACTTTGAACATTTCCGCACTGAGCATACATAGTAACAAGAGAATTCCCCACAGGCACAGAGGAATTCATTCCGATCCTAATTGTGTATGCATGCAGCTGTCCCCCAAGAGAAATATCCTTTAGAATAGAACATACTCTAAGAATGGTGGCAAGAGTAAATTCATCTGAGTCCACAGGTACCTTCCTCATCTGATTAAACAAAGTCAAAGCCTCTTCTACAAGGCCAAACTGGGCTGTTCCCCCAATCATGGAAGTCCAGGAGACCACATTTCTTTCTTTCAAGTTATTGAAAACCGTCATAGCGTATTCCAAGCATCCACATTTTGCGTACATATCGATCAGACCGCTACCCACATAAACATGGATATTTGGTTCCTTTCGGAGGATTTGAGCGTGGAGATGGGCACCCCAACCCAGATCACAAATGCCTGCGCAAGCACTGAGAACGCTAGCGTATGTCATGGAATTCGGTCTGAAACCATGATTCAACATCTCGACAAACATATCAAGAGTTTGGGCCCCTTTCCCATGCTGAGCCAAGATCGAAATCATTGTGTTCCAAGAACAAGTGTCATGCTCAGGCATTTGATGAAACAAATGAAGAGCCCTTCCAACACCATACAATTTTGAGTAAACATAAATCAAAGTATTCCAACAAAACAAATTTGGATTTGGCATTCTCAAAAACACTTGTTCGGACAAACTCGGTGCACCACACTTGACATACATATCAATGATCGAAGACCCAATGGACTCATGTCCTCCAAAATCAAATTTCACAACTAGACCATGCAATTGGGAAGCCAAATTTACATAACCAAGACTGGCACAAGCCTTCATCGCACAGGAGAACGAGAATAGATCAGGAACACAGTTACAATCCCGAATAATCGAAGTAAAAACCTTGATCGTGCCATGAGGTTGCTCATTGTGAAAATAACCAGACATCATTGAATTCCACGAAACAGTATCTCTTTCGGGTATTTCATCGAACAACTGTGCGGCTTTCCTCATCCGACCCGAATCCGCCAAGCCACTAATCATCGTGTTCCAACTAAAAACATTACGAAACTCAATTTCAGTGAAAACCCGGAGAGCATCATCTATCAAGCCACAACTGGAGTACATGTTCAGGAGGTGGTTTTGTAGGAAAGTTGAAGAGTGTAAGCCAGTGGAAACGAGTCGGGCATGCAGTTTCCGGGCTTCTGGCACGGACCCGAGAGAAATGCAGGCTTTCATGGCTTCGTAATACTCCTGAGATAACTCCATATAAGATTGTTGAATAGAGGGATGGTTGTGAAGTGTGAGTGTCCTTGAGATGATTTCTTGGCCGCAGACAAAGCGAATGAAAAGGAGAGAGAGACCCGAGGGAAGATAGTTTGAGAGACGCCATGAGAGGTTGAAGATCATTGGATATCGAGAAAGCTATGACATTAAGAGATGTCATTTGCTTTGATTCATATATCGCGCGCGTTGCGAGTAAGAGAGAGAGAGTGAGTCAGTGACAGTGTTGAATTGCCGGTGATTAAAACTAAGAAGAAACAAAATGGAGGGAGTCAGGAGACAGACAAGCAAATTGGACTGCAACTGGGCCGAGCCGCAAAGGGTATGAGGCTAACAAAAGCCCAACTTGAATTTTGAAGTATTGTCTACAAAGTGCACAGCTTGGTATTTGCAGGGGTTTCTTTGACAATTATACAGCCCATTGATTTCTGATGGAAAATGGTCATTGTGGAGAATCAACTAGCCAGCTGTTTAGTCCCTTGGCTCGGTGGCACGGTTATGATATGCAGGTGACTTGCCTATTGGCGGCCTACCACAATGGGAAACATACTTGCCCCATATAACGAAACAACCAGCCCCTTCAATATCTCTCGTAATATGTTCTACGTTGTTGAAGGCTAAATCCACATGAAGGGTGTGATGTATAGCTAAAAATACGTCGGTCACTGTCTAATCTAAAGGACTACACAAATAGGAGGTATGTAATCTAAGGATACGATGTTTTTGGTTTGGGCACAGTCACTCATGCGGTAATCTTAACCATCTGTGTTGAGTTCCACCGTCAATAACCATGGCTAGTGTAAATCGGAGTAAAAGCTCATGGACGGACACCTAAGGCCGTAGGGCTTTAACTCATACAAACTCTTGTTTTGGACGGGGGGGAGTGGCGGTGGAAAATTTCATGATCAAAGTTATTTGGAGTGCACATAGGTGAAATAGTAGCAAGAGGGTCAAGTCCTTATACAGCATAATATTCAACGTTAAAACATACATGTTTTACCTATTTCCCAGGCACAGAACTTCGCACCCTACATAAGAATCCACAAAGAACTAGGTAACAGGTTGAAACCCTCACATAAAGGATGCAAAACAAAACATGTGGCCACAATAGCAAGGCTTAGAAATATGCCCAACAATTTCCTATTCAGACTAGCATATAACAAGGTGCTACAATACACAGTATCCATCTCAGCAGCTGTTTACCAAGAAAAGATGTAATGAGTAATTAAATTGTGCAATTACACATTATAAAGAAATATTGCCAGATTTTGCCTTTTACAAGTCATATCTCACATTCCATCTGCCATTAATGTCAGCATTCACCGTCCAATTGTTTTCCCTAATCTGCAGGTATGGAACCTGAAACAGTTTAAATAAAAACAAGTAAACTAACCATCTGATATATACATTAATTAAGAACAAAAAAGAGATGATTTCACCAAGATGAGTAAATCACCAAATCCTATTCTCAAGTGGAAATTCAAAATATCAAATAATTAAAGATGTATGCTGGAGTCGGTAACTGATTAACATTTGCCCTACAATCCTGTATCTATATCTATTCTACTAATAAAATTTACTTAAAAGTAAAAAACTTTTATTTTCCTAATATACCCTTAAACAATTCAATAAAGTCATATTTCCTATTTTGTATGTCATTTTCCATTTTTCACTTTTGCTAACCATTGCAATTCCCTTACTTAACCGCACTCCATATATACCTTTTGGTATTCTATCACTAAATGTATTCTTAAGTTCAATCGGCAATATTTAAATGTGGTCATTATATGCATTAAATATACACATACTATAGCTAAATAAGACACAAAGGTGCATTCTTAGAAAAGCACCCATCTTCTTGTTCATGATATAGTTAATGATACATTCTTATTGCTACACAACAAAAAAGATTATCGTACAACTCAATGGAGAGTGGTGGTGGTCGGAAGGCGTCATTCGAGATCACTCGCACCTGGCCCTTCAAAGTGTTATTGTTACTATAATTGTTTTCGAGGTATTTCCTATTTTTTATATTTGATCTCTTATCTATTCACTCATGTTCTCAAATTAGTCAATGAAGAATTCAAAAGTTTCTTCCTTATCTATCTACAACGTAACCACATCTTCTCTTAAATATACATGCATATTTTTGTTTTTGCTTGATTCATTTTCTAAGCCATGACTAATAAGTACTGATTCAGGTTTGAAGCTCAATTGTGTGTCAAGCTGGTAACGGTCTTCATCTTGCATCGTCACATTGACTCTTTTTGAGAAATTTCTCTGAAAAAATAAGAATTGAGCTTCCCATCTATCTCTTTAAAAAACTTCAATAGGATAGTCAAATGATTAGGAAGATTTAGGATGAGTTTTCAACTGAAGTTATTTTATTTATATATATATAATATGTTAACTGATTTCCATCTTATTTCTTTATCTATCATTGTTTACGGGAAAGATTGATTTCATCCCCCATTTTCCAATGTAAAAACGTATTCACAAAATATGCTTCTAATATTTTTTATTAGTTAAAAACATATTTTGTAAATACATTTTTACATTAAAAATATAGGTTTAAACCATATTTTCCCATAAATAACTCTAGATTAAGAGATAAACTAAAAATCGTGACACAAATGAAATAAAATCGAAAAGCTACGTAATTTGGTCATTGATTCAATTGAGGATACTAAAAATAGTCTCCTTTTACATACTTTTTCTCGGGTCGAGTGAACAAATAAACATTTTAAAAAATCAAACCCAAAATTCTGCGATATGCAAGGCTACACAAAGGCCACATATATTGTGTTTTTTCTCTAACAATATTTCATATTTAATATAATCCAACGCAATACAAGTTTGCAACAAAAACAAGCAGGCTCATTCAATAAGCTAGCCCTTCTAGAACCAACTTTGACATAAACGAAAAAACTTACAACCATCCAGATTTTTATTTCATTGTTATTCGGAAGCATATGATCTTTATGATCCAATTAATAAAATTAAATATTTATTATTATAATTACTACTACTACTTTAAATGTAGCAGATTAAGAAAATCTTGGTTTGATTAATCAACTTACACCCATAATGTGTGTTTTGACCTTACTGTTTTTCTTAAACTTCTTAATTATTTTGCTAACTTTCATATTCCTTAAATATCAAAATTAGAATACAAATTCTAGCCCTTCTTCTAACTCTATAACTTCTAAATGTTTTAAATTCGTGCAATCTTCCATAAGTATCTATATCTATAACAAATTATTAATCAAAAGTTAATTGCTCAAGTGTCTCACTTGTATGGTTATTTTTATCACCCAAAAATAAGATATTTATTACTACATCAACTTCATATTTGGCTATAGAATCAAAAGCCGGAATTATGGGAGACATGTAATTTGAAAAGTCATCATTAGTGATTTTTATTAGTTACACAAGATATATTAGTAATTAGCAATAATGCGTTCCTAAAATCACACTGTAATACTGTAATATAAAAAAAATTGAGCATTTATCATACAATATTTTATATTTTAAATAAATTTTTTTCTTTTCTCTAATTATGTAATTTAAAATTAAAGTGAACAAAGAGAAAATAAGAGATAAACATTTTTGAATTAGTGTGGTTGTTTGCCATTGAGAAGCGTGTTGATTGGGTCGTGCAGAGATGATGATATTTTTTAGTGGGGGAAAAATTGGATTGAATGGATAAAAATTAAATCAATTTTGATCATTATTGTATTTTTATAAGTTGAAAATTCAATATTTTAAGTGTAATATTAAATAGATATATGCACACGTGAATGATCAATGTAAACGTAATATTCAAAAATTATAAAAATAAATAAATAATAAAAATTATAGCTCAAAATAGTTCACGTACAACGTATGTATGCAATAACTAGTACAATAAAATAAACCATTCTCTAGTGAATCCCACCCAAGGTTTTACTATCTGACATAGTTGTTAAATCGCGATTCGTATCATGAATCGGAATTTTAAGTTTGAGAATCGTGAATCGTAAGATTCGACACAAAATTTGAACAAAAATAAAAAATAATACTAAATATTTAAAATAGACAAAATATTGAATATTGAACATTATTACATTCTAAAAATAATCAATTGACATAATTACGTCGTCTAAATGGAAAGACATTAGTCTTTTGCTTCATTTTCATCTTTCACTTAACCATTTTCAAATTCAACAACTCGAAAACAAAAAATTCATTAAAGAATCATGGATATTCAAGAACCAAAATAATGACATCAAATATAGATTAGGCTACAAACTTGAATGAAAAAACAACAAATAAGAAAATTTATTGAGAGAAAACATATAAGCCAACATTTTGAAATAAAAAATTAGAATCTAACAAACTACCAATGGAAAAATTGAGAGCAAAAATCAACCGATGATGCTAGAGCGTTAGCCATGACCTTTAGTTTTAGACAACACAAGACGAGTTTTAAACGACGTCAGAGAGAGAACGAATAAAGAGGTTGAGTTTTTATTAAGACGTTGGTTCTCTCTGCAAACAAAATGACGTCGTTGTCGTTTTGCAAAAAATTTAGGTTTTTTAAAAAAAGTGATTGAGTGGTGCAATTCATGAGATACGAATCGAATTGTACGATTCAAGTGTGATTCAACTCTAAAACGATTCTCATATAAGATACTAATCATTTTGTACATCTATCAAACCGAATCGTATGAATCGAATCGCGAATCGTATAATTTTGATAACTATGTTATCTGATGAAACTAGTCACACAACTTCATGCTTTAGAAAATTACCACTTTCCTCCGAGGTAAACAAAAGTCTATACCATAATAATATGATAGTATACATACATCACCATAATCGGCAACTCTCTGTGTGTGCGCGCACATGTGAGAGAGAGAGAGAGAGAGAGTATTTTAATTCAACACAAATGTGGCAGGAGATGGTCATCACAAAGTGACATCTTACAATCTTTGGTGGTTATGAGAAATTAGTTGATTTGAGCAATCAATCATGACAAGCCAAGTCCTTAGGCTTTGGGATTGATGCTGACAAATTGCACCTCTATGTTCATAATAACTAGTGAGCATCAAATAATGACATTAAGATATGTTGGGTAAAAGGAAAAAAACATGACATGGAGTCACGGAAAACAAAGACATTGTTGGCAGAAGTTCTCCTTTTATGACAAAACATAACTGTTGAAGAATAACTTCGACAAAAACTATTATCTGTACTACTAATAAAAATACACTATCAAGAAAAACTTTTAATTGACTATTTTATCCCTACAAGAAAATATAATCACAATATTAACCATATTTAATGTAAAACTCATTTTAATAAAACTTAATTAACATTAAATTATGTTGGACTACTTTACTCTTAAAATAAAGCATAAATTCAATTCTAACCTTATTAATTAGAAATTCATAGTAATACTAACCAAGCTTTCCATCTTCTTTTTAAAAGACAACTTTAACTGTTAAAAGGAGTTAGACTTATTTTTATTAGTTGATAATCAATTTATGAATAAAGACAAGTTGAGCCTAATTTATTATAGAATTTATTTTAATGTATCCTCAATAATAATATCAAATCCCAACTTTTCATCTTCTTCGATTTTACAATTTTAGTATCAATGCATCCTCTTATTAGTAACACTCGAGTGGGGTTGTTTTTGCTTTTTTATTTTTGTTGGGTGATGACTAATACTATGAATGTTAATGATTAAATTAATTTGCTTACCCCAAGTAACTTATTTACTTATTTCATTTCTACAACCTAACTTTCTTTTAATTGTGTATGATTGTATGACCACCATAACTTAAAGCCCTTTTCTTTATGTGTGTTTTTACAATTCAATAAGTATTCGCGTTTTTATTTAGTTGTTATATATATTTTAACTTTGATCAATCGAAGAAAAGTAGGAGGAAAAAAGAAGAGAATATTATTGATGCACAATTAGCCAGAACAAAACTTAAAGGAAACTACATATAAGAGGTCTTTATATAGTAAACTAAGCTAGGACAACATAAAAGAAAACAAATGACTAAACTATCCCTAAGTCTAAATATAATAACTATTCTAACACCCTCCCTCAAACTCAAGATATGGTAACACCAAACATCAAGAGTTTGCTAAGAAGAAAACGGAAGCGTGTGATGGCGTGAGATTTCGTAAAGAAACGATCAGCAAGTAGCCAATACAATCAAACTATCTCTACAATTATGAAGTTCATAGCATGATACTCAACTTCAGCATATGATCGAGCCACAACAGTTTGTTTCTTACTTTTCTACGAAATAAGACAATCACCAATGAAGAGACAGAAACCAGTAGTGGACTTGCGATCTATAGAGTCACTAGCCCAGTCCGCATCAGAGTAAGCACGAAGTTCCAGAGATGATCAAATAGTAATGAAAGGTCCAACAGAAAACCAAAGCTCAACAAAAACCACCAGCAACAATGCTCAACAAAACAAATCTCAACAAAGAAAAAAAACAAACAAACCAGAACTAGTCCCAAACCAGCAGTAGTCAAAATCAGAAACTAGAACCAAAAGAAGTAGCCAATGTCAAACAATCCAAAGTTCGCTACAAATCAACTTAACAACTTTGCAAATCAAATACTCACCCAGCAATTGGTTCACAAATCAGCCCCAAAGACTTAAACCCACTAATCAAAAGTGAAAACAAAAATTTCCTACTGCTTATTCAATGCAAAACAATGCAAATGGAAACAAAAGTTTCTTGCTTATTCAGTGCGAAACAATACAACGCTATGTCAAATAGTAAACCCAAATAAACAAATCAAAAACCAGCAACATGACAACTCACTAATGCACAAAACCAACCAATCAACAAACCAATCCAAAAGCCCAAAGCAACAACAGCAAACGAAGAAGAAACAGCCAAACTAGCAACCAGGAGAAGCAGAAGAAGAAAAAGCACCAGCAAAAGAGAAGAGGCAGCAGCAAGTCAATAAAAAGAACAATCCAAACAGCAGATCCCAACGTACCAACTTCACAAACCAGAAACCAACGAAGAAGTAGACACTCAATAGGCCTTAATACAAGCATCTCGAGCAAATAAATCAAATCAACAATCCAACAACTAGACAACTCAAATTCTATGACTTTCAAAAGTCCAACAACAAAACAGAGGCAGCAAAACACCAAAAAGGCACTCAAAATCGAAATCCGACACTGTTCACAGCATGAACAGTAACGTCGGTACCATTCACAGCGCGTGAACAGTACTTTCAGCACTGTTCACAACCCTTGGAATCACAAAAAAATAGCAATCCACCAATCACTAGTCCTCACATCACACAACCCAAGAATATATTCTTCCTCCAACTAAATTACTGTGGTGTTACAATATATATTTTAGATCAAAACCATGTTCTAATACCATGTTAACTTTGATTAATCAAAGAAAAGTAAGAGGAAGAAAGAAGAGAATATTATTGAGGCACAATTAGCCAGAACAAAGCTTAAAGGAAAACTACATATAAGAAGTCTTTATATAGTAAACTAAGCTAGAGCAACATAAAAGAAAACAAATGACTAAACTACCCCTAAGTCTATATATAATAACTATTCTAACAATATATACATATATCTGCATATCATAATACGTATTTGTGTTATTACAATGATATTGTAAATATAATTCATCTAAATTTTTAGTTTCATGCCAAAATTTCTATATTTTAGGAGATAGCTTTATAAGAGAAATAATTACTCAAAACTGTAAGAGTTAATAGAAAAAAGAAATAAAAACTAATATTCTTTCTGAAAATATTTCTATATAAATAGTACGAATTGTAGAAAGTTTATTACATTGTTTGATTCATAAGTATTTATAGGCTACTGTATTTACATGATTATTTCAAACAATTATAAAAATAAATTTAAAACAAAACTATAATTTAAAACGATTCACGTGCAAAGCACACGTGCTGATCTAGTTTCTTTAAATGACAATACTCTAGAAATGAAAAAAAAATGCACATCTGTCGAGCTTCAAAAATAACAAACACAAGAAAAATTTACCTTGCCAACAACTTCATAGCCAACTTTGAGCCTTACATCTTGGTCTTTCTGGAAATTGAATATGCTCCAAGTAAATTCAGCAGCCCCTCTTGACAGTCTCATCTGTTAAAGAATTACAAGTTATATGTAGCATCAAAAATAGAACAAAAGTTTAGGTCCTAAAAAGCCATTGTAGTAAATGACATCATTACCAACGGGCCTTTGATCTAATGGTACTCTTTGTCTTTTAAAGGTTTTGCTTTCTTGAGGTCAAAGGTTCAAGCTCTTTTCCCCCCCCCCCTCCCCCTCCCCAAAAAAAAAAAAAAATAGTCAATAGCATCACCCATGTCTGACAAAAACATACCACAAGCAATTCTACTTACAATATACTGTTGTTGATGATGAAAGGGAAATATTAGAAATTCAATATAAATTAAATAGACTGGAGGACTTATTTTGACTTATGTGCTACTCCCACCAACTAATATGACAAGGTTTAAAATGAAACCATTAGCATCAGAACTCCTTAAAAATAAAGTACTCAATAAAATAAACACAGCTATAAATAGATTTTGCAGACTCCAAGAAATACCAACCTCTCTAAGGTCTTTGTCAACATCACATTGTCCCTTTATATTAAAGCTCATCAACCCATCTGCAGTCACAGGAAATGCCTTTTTTCCACACATGATATACCTAAATTTTTCTTTTCTATCATATTGCAATCCGACACGAAAGCTTGCTGACAGCTGCAAATGATCATCAGATATGTCAATGCATGCAAAACCTTTATTCTTCTTTCAAAGGGGTTGAGAAGGAATGAGGAGATACATCAGGATTAAAGTATCTTATCATTGCATAGTGACAATTTGGGACGCCAGTTCCTGTGTTCAGCTCTCCATTAACCTGCTAGTCAGAGTACATTGATACACAACAAAATGAAATCAAGGGAAGTTTTTTTTTTTTTTGATCAAATCAAAGGAAGTTAATTAATAGGCGTCATGCCCAAGTTTCAATAGACACCTTGTAATGACAGATATTGAACAGGTCAATCTGATGTAACCCTTTGCAAGAATTTTACTTCAAACTGTAACAAGCACATCATGCTGTGTTCTATGGAATCAGTGGCTCAAATTCCAAAGTAACAATAAATTAATCCACACATTAGATAACAAGTTGCACACTTGAAGTGGCAGCCGAATGTTTTAGTTTTGTTCACACCAAAGTCATTCCATGTAATGCTGCATGACATGTGTGGCTGGTATTCTGTGGATGTATCGTTTTATTGACTGAGCCAAACATCACCAAGCTGAAGGAATAGAACCGATTTCTTCATTGTTAAAAAGTTGGAAACCACCTCAAAAATTTCCCATATGTAGGCAACAGTTGATCAAAGATTGGTGGCATAGCCGAGATGTGATTCCAGTTGAGGAATCACTGTGGTGAGCATCAATACGTGAGGCATGCGGAGAATCCAAATTCCAATTTAGGAATCCAGGAGATCCGAATACAGTGAGGAATTCAGGAAGAATGTCGGTTTTCAACATTTGAGAGATCTCTTTTATGGTGTTTGAGAAGAGAGTGGTAAGATTGAGATGAGTGTACAATGTTTTAAAGACTCAGATTTGGGATTTAATTTTGAATCGTCAAACTCTTCCTGTATTCTCACTTCTCTCAAGAGTAAAGAAGATGCGTGGATCGTGTCCTTGGATACAAGCATGATTTGCCCAAGTAAATGTGTCTTGTGCTTTGAAGTATGTACTGACCAAATTACTGCAGAATTTTCCCAACAGGTGCCATTAGAATCGATTCATAGTTGCGTGAAACCCCACAAGTGCAATCAGAGCTGTGGAATCTACCAAAAAAATTATCAAGCGCCTGACCCTTGTACGAACTTAAACATCCAATTATCACAACTTAATCGTTTTCCCCAAATTATTAGCCTCCATAATAAGAAAAAAAGGCATCTATAGCGGAGCATTAATGTCCTCAAGTTTCAAGTAAACAGTAACACATGCATTAGGTGACAAAAAGGAGACAAATTTCTTATGGCGGTTGCGGTTCATGACCGACTACTATCAGAGAAGCATGAACTAGCACATAGGCATATAGCTCTAATAGAATGGCACTAGTAAAGTGCATAAACTCCCAAGTTGAAATACAGTGAAAAATGAAAGAGAAAGGCGCGTGCCTGGAAGTGGGTTTTGGAGTTGATGCGAAACTTCTGTTTTGCATGGATTCTCAGAGCTTTCGAATCTTTGCCATGTCTCAATGAAGTCTCCATTTCTGTATTATGAGCTTAAACAAAACCCTAGACTAGATATGGCGGACACTATGAAGTCCGAGAGAGATTTAATGTAGAGTGTGGGTAGTAAGCTAGTGTGACGATAGACAGACAGATAAATAAATGGGATAAAAATAATCAAATCTAGGACGATAATAAATTAACTGCAATGCTATTTTGATTTAATTTGTCTTAGTTTTATTTCCAATTAGGACGGTCTACAATACATCCTTAATTTTTGACAAAGGAATTTAATTAAGATTAATGCATTATGTACTCAAATTTTTTGTTTAGTTTAATTTTGGGAGAATTACAAGTTCATCCTTAAGATTTTTCACTTAATTACTTAGACCCTGTTGTAAATATATCACTTAATAAATTATACTTACACCCCTAAAATTTATAAGTATTTAATATTTAGACCCTTTAAGTTTAAAATATTATACTTACACTAAAAATACTCCAATGAAAAAGATAAACTATTAAATATTTTAAATTTTACAACCAAAATTCATGTTCTATTGTATAATTTATTGAAATAAAATCAAAAATAAAAATTCAATTTTTTCCTAAAAAAACATAATTAGTATACAATTATATTGTCTATTAGAATTTATTTTGATATTTTAAACGTCCAAATTAAAATATCAAACTACATCAATTAAAGCTAAAAGATATTGTATTCGTTACAGTTTGACTCATTGTTTAATTTTTTAGTTTTATTCTAATAGATAGTATAATTATATACTAACTATGATTTTTTTAAAAAAAATTAGATTTTTTTTTATTTTATTTCAGTAAATGACATAATAAAACATGAATATTTGATGTAAAATTTATGTTCTATTATGAATGACTTAGACCACTTGTTTAATTTTTTAGTTTTATTCCAATAGATAGTATAATTGTATACTAATTATGATTTTTTAAGAAAAAATTAAAATTTTATTTTTAATTTTATCAATAGAACATGAATTTTGATTATAAAATTTAAAATATTTTTTATTTTTTATTTGATTGGAGTATTTTTGGTATTAGTACAATATTTTAAACTTAAGGGGTCTAAGTATAATTTATTAATTGATATATTTACAGCAAGGGTTTAAATGTTACACGTGTACAAACTTAAGGAGTCTGTGTATAATATTTTAAACAGGGGATCTGAGTGATTAAATGACAAATTTTAAGAGATCTGAATATAATTCTCCTATTAATTTTTTAAACAGTGCTGTATCGCTCTCCTATTTTCTTTTTTTTAGGGGTTTGGGGGGTAATTGTCTAATTCTATTCTAGTTTGGAGATTTGGGTCATTGGGTGAGGGAGGGAAACAAGGCCTCGTAGGTATTCTGTGTGAAATACAAAAATAAGAGCAAATTTCCATCTATGCCTCTTGGCCTTTGGGTTTATTCTTTTGTCACCTATTGATGATATTCGATTCCAAACCTTCAAAAATAAAAATAAAAAAACAACCAACAACATAATTATCCACAAGTAGAATCGGAATCAGATCATTACAACATATCACCAGAAAGGGGAAACCTCTTCCAATTGCAGATACGGGGACCATGATTAGAAGGTATGGGGGGGGGGGGGG